TATTGAAATATTTTATCCCCTAATTATTTTGCAGCAAAGTTGTAAATAGGTTTCTTGTAGCTTTCAAATTCTGCGTTTGTTCATGTCCTCATTTATTATTTTTGAGTTTGGGAAATCGTAGAAATTAAGTCAATTAGAATGTATCATTTGCGTAAAAAGTACGCTGCATGAACGAATTTTTTGTTTCAATAATTTCACGGCATGAGTGATTTCTGATAAAATGCTAATTTATAAGTACCTAATTTCCATAATTTCTCGGTTTTCCCACAATAAAAAATTACAAATGGGCACATGAATAGACGCAAAATCTTACAATCTACAAAAAAATTACTTACAACTTTGCTGTAAAATAATTAGGGGAGATAATCCATTTAAATCCCTATGGTGCGTAACCCAATTCTACACCCTGCATAAAAAAATACGAATACTCGTGGTATTGAAATTATAACTATATTATTATACATATACAGCTATATACTACAAACTAAATTAAAAACTAAACGAGAGCTAAGTATATACAATACCCAAAAATAATTTTTTTAAATAAATCCAAACTCTTCTTGTTGAAGTGGATTCCGTCACTGAAAAACAAGCATTAGTTTAAAATTATCATTTGATTATACATTTGAGCTACCTTTTAAATACATTTTTAAAGTTTTTGAATTTCTCCTCCACGTCACACAGGATTAGCCTATTATCTGGAAATAAAAAAATTTGATATTATACTTTATATCCAATACATATTAATTAGTATACTTACTATCAGTTTGATTTCTAATAAAATTATTAAATTTTTTCAACTGTGTTGCTTGGTCCTGTGTTACCCTTGGAGTGTGTGGTATAGTGCACAATATGGCGCGTTTAATTTTCTCCGTTTTTTTTACAGTTGTAATGAGACGTAACATGGCATTCCTCATTATGCCGTAATTTTTGTTCTGAAATAAACAAACAGTAAAAAATCAAATTAAAAAAACAGGCCTGTTCGACTTTTGCGAATGGACTATAATCTTTGACGTTAAGAATCTTTCTAATTTCTAAGTTTGAAGTTTAAAAATAATCAATCCACTTACCCCAAATGTGTTGGACCGTCGGACTTTCTTCTGTGAAGGTGGTGTAAGAAGGGATATAACAATTAGGAAAACGGAGGAATTGTTGATTGATTATTGTCGAGGGGGAAGTTTATGGTGGTTATTGCACAAAACACGATCCGAAACAAATTATGTATTGTGTAACTATCCAAAATGAAATTTATTCAAAATGTACGTCGCGTTCGAACAATACTTTTCTATCGAATGACCAATGTCATTCCTTATACATGGCCATGACTTCGTAATCTGATTTAATAAATTTTATACAAATAAATAAATATGCGACAAGGCCTTTGGTCTATGTTGTTATTGCTACACAATCCATATAAACACCTATGATTAAAAATGTTTGAAAAAATAAAAATCTTTTTTAACTGTTTCCATCTATTATATTGTGTCTCATATATTACTGTCTACTGATCCCCTTTTGAAAGTCGTAATTTACGAAACGTCAATAATTTTTAATGTCTTCAACGATGGTGCTTATGCATTAAATAAATAAAATACTGTCCAGTGGCTGTATTTCTTCAAACATTTTTAATCATATAACCAGCCGTCTCCAACAACCAGTGAATAACCTATGGTACTTACACGCCTCAAGTCATTGGTACCAACCATGACAATTACGAGTTCCGCTGGCTGATAATTAAATTCAGGGCTCTGCATTCGTTTAATCCTTTTTTGCAATTGGGAGATGGTTTGTCCCCCAATTGCAAAATCCGAGTATACTCGCCTCCTTTGACTTCGTACCTCCGTCTTTATTTGACTTTCTTTCCCCATGGAGGTTAGAAGCCGCCCCAGGTTAGAATCCCCAAAAAAGGACACCTCATTCTAAAACATTACATTGTATTATTAATTTCTTAACTATAAATAACCTTCTATAGAGATTGAAAATGAAACGTTTTGGTAATATAGGAATTTCAGTTATACTTACACTATTTATTATTAACATGTCGGTTGTTTAAATTTAAGTCGCGGTTGTATATTCGTTCAAAAGTGCACCAGCAAAAACGGTTAACTTTCTTATTTATGAATAAAAAAAGTGTGGATTTCGGATTTAGATGGCCTCATGGGTCCTTAATCATAATCAAAAGTCACATGTGATACGCCACCACTAGTTTGAAAATGCCACCGGATTTTCCGAGCGTCCGTAATATATAGTAATCTGATTTCGCGATATTTCGTACTTTGTAACTTTCTTATTTATGAATAAAAAAAGTGTGAATTTGGGATTTAGACGGCCTCATGGGTCCTTAATCATAATCTAAAGTCACATGTGATACGCCACCATTAAATATTTTGTTTTAATGAAAAATATTTAATTCAATGAGATTTGCTAGGTTAGTTTGGTTATACGCATACTGGATTTCCGACGCTAACTTCACATACGTGCATACAGGTTCCACTCACTGGAAGGGCAGCTGGCAAGCTGAATAACTCTCCGAGTATTGTTCTTGGGTCACCAACATTCTTTCTTACCTGCTTCGAACATTACATTTTAGTCACATCACAATTGCATGCCTAGTGGGTTTTAAATTAATTTTTGACTAAAAAAACTGCACATGTACTAGTAGCTGACAGTCACTGCTCCAGAAGTTGACTTTGACTGTCCCAAAAGCTGATGGCAATGAATATTGGTAGTACCTACCCAGCAAACAATGATCATCGGGCCAATGCAAAATAAATATATGGTGGCCGATGTTGGCCATAATGGCATAGTGTTGGTAATTGGCATTGGGCCAGTACCTATAGGTCACTCTGGCCAGCAGCCGACCAGAGATGATTTGCCATCATGGCATAGTATTGGCCACTGTATTGGCCCAACACTTCTTTTTTATGATGGCCAGCAGCCGGCCAGATATAATTTGCCATAATGGCATAGTATTGGCAACTGTATTGGCCCAACACTTATTTTTTATGATGGCCAACATATGGCCGCATGAAGTTAGCTGGCCATTGATATTGGGCTGCTATCTAGAGCTGACTTCAGTCAGTTGTTGGTTAATGGAAAATGTATTCGAATTATACTCAGTGGCGTCGGAAGACAGAATTCCAGGGAGGGGCAACGTCATCAAAATAAGGAAATTAATAAAAATGATTTTATTTATACATTTATTCGTAGGGTATCGGTATACACTGCAGCCTATGCATATTTATCAGAGAAGGCAAACATCTGACCGGTACAAGAATTCATCTACTACATGGACCCCCTAAAAGTAATGAAGATGTAACACTCCCTAACGAGATTTTTAATAACATACCTGAAATCGTCAGGAGGGTAATGAAAAATACTTAAATCAATGAAATAGGGAAATTATCCAACCTCAAATTGTGAGTCTGAAAGAATTTTAGATAACATAACGTAAAAGAAAGTCAACGCCATTTCACTTACAGGTAGGTAGGGCGATGAACTTCAACCAGATATATAGCCTCGCAATGGAGAAAACGGCTTCTGAGTTACTCTACTCGACAACGCCAATAAAAAGGTAAAATTGCCAGAGATTTTACGTGAATGATGGCAAATATTACCCACTGGTTTAAGAAGAATTCACAATGCCACGCTCTACAACAAGTACAACCTCGTTGGCTTTAAAACGGAAATGAAGTGAAAAATTAACGCGATTCTGCGCAAGGAAAGAAACACGCGTACAAGTGACGCCATCTCACCTATATCCTGCCTAACCTAGCAAGCGGTAATTTTGAAATTTGAATATGAATAAACTAAACTGTTACACCGTGTCTGTTAGAAGCTGATTTTGATAATTACTAATAATATCATAAACATGTGGCATTTCCAAAAAAATTTTAAGTGTTTTGTCCAAAGGAATAAAATAACCAACAGAATTTCGTAAAACCATTGAAATATTGTCATTAATCTTTTTTCTATCTGGTGTGACTCCTAATTTATATTCAACAGGTTTGACAAAATAATTTGATTTCTCAAAATAATTGATCCTTTTATATTCAGTGTTAACTAATAAAAACGAGTGCTTTATAGCATCGATTGTGGTATTCATTTGTTCTAATTGTTCTTTTGGTATATAAGATTGAAACATTTTTAAAGATAATCTCATAATATTTATTAGTGGAGTTAGCAAATTTTGAACTGACTCAAGTAAAGTTTGAATAAAATTTCTTGGAATGTACGAATTGTAATATAACCTAGATATAAATGTGTACAGTAAAGACATATATTCTTTTTGTAGTAATTCAAAGGTTTCAGTTTCAGTGGGCGGAGGCGTTTTAGGTAAAGATTCAAACTGATCAGTACTGCTTCCCACTTGAACATCTTTATCGTAGTTTATTGCAAACGTACTTACGTTTTTGTTTTTCGAATGTTTATTTAGTTCATTGAAATTATGTGTTTTAATATAATGTTGTTTAAATGATCTTTTAATATGAAACACCCGGCAACAATCTTTTTCTGGACACAAGTAGTGATCAGTTATATTATGAGCATATTCTAAGTGCATAACGTACTTATTAAGCTGCATAAAAGACTTCCTACAATTGTTACACTTCATCTTTTGACGTTTTGTTAGTAAGATAGGTACACATCAAATATTTACGTCGGATTAGAAATAGATTTCAATTGAGATAAGACATCATTAATATATGGAGGAACATTATCGCAATCCAAATTAATCCCATAAAGACCTTTTTGAATAAGAAGATATAAATATTCAGTTTGAATTATGGGTATTTCGCATTCATTATATGAAAAATTTTAAATAAAATATCAAACGCCTTTATAGGATTATCAAAGTGTAAATAAATAGTGTCTATTACTATATAGAAGGCTCGAGGATCTTCAATGCTTCCTACATAAATTATGTACGGCTGCACAGTTTGTTGATGAGCTAGGGCTTTTTCTTTTTGAATTCTTATTACTTCGTCTATATCTCCGGCAGTCTAAAAAGGAAATACCCTGAGCCTTTATTGTTTTATAATCAAATGTTCATACCTTAGCTTCAACAACAATTCCTTCAACAGTTTCTTGTGTTGAAAACTTCCAGTGTTTAGAATTCTTTAAAACAAAACGACCTTTAGATGGAATTAGAAGCGCGATCGTTTTTAATTCAATTAAAAATTTGGAATCTGTAAGAAAAACTACAATACGTGATATAAATTTGTTAAATATTACCTTGATTTTTAATGTTTTCCCGTAATTCGAGTAATTTTGCTACTGTTTTGTCTTTATTTCCTGTCTTCTTAACTTCTTGTATTTTTGCAAAAAACTGGTCCCAATTCATAAAAAGCTTAAGACCTTTACCATCATATAGTTGGTTAAAATCTGAATTAATCTGTAAATAAATTAATAGTACTTATATGAATTTTTTGTAAGAACCCTTTCTTATGTATAGTTTACTTTTCCGATATAAAGACAGCCACTAGGGATCTTCAAAAAGGTAAAAGATTCAGATTTGGTACTTTTTAAAAAACAAACAAGACTATCTTATAGGTCATTAAAAGTGTCATTGGTTTTGCTCGAAGCAAAACAATAATAACAGAAAAAAATTGTTTTTTAAAAATGAAGAGTTTTGTTGACGCCATTTTCTTAGTTCTTTCACTGCGCGACTTTTTCTCGTTTAACCAAATCTAAATTTTACCGTTTTTAATATTCCATAGTGGGGCTCCTCATGTTAGCAAAGTGTAGGTATAATAAATCAAACTCCTCGGAAAATTGAATAGTATCATTAAAAATTACGATTTAAAAATCAATACGTCATAAAAAGTGCTTAAACTTTATATTAGTTAGTAGTAAATCAACGATTTATTAATTCAAAATTTAAGTACATAATACGTTTTTGACTATTCAAAAACCGTTCATTTTCTTAGCCAGTTGATTAGTTAACAGATACTTTTTATACCTTTCTTAAAGCGGTCATAAAATTAATATTATGACCAGAGTTACACTGAGTCACATACATCTCGACTAGGGTTGCCAAAATCTCATTCACAATTTCCGGGACTTTCCGACTTCACGAGCGTTGCATGAGGGGGGGGGGGGGGGTTCAAAACTCTACAAATTTTGGTATTACTTTATTAATAAGTCTAAGAAACAAAAAATAAAATATTAGTTCAGTACATGAAAAAGAAAATCAAATTTGTTATAATATGTTTCCAAACCAATATACATATTATTTTCTTATGTATTTATCACTAGATTTGGCAATCTTCAAAAGTTTCTGTCCATCTGCACTTTGTAAAACTGTTACAATTTCTGAACACGATTCTTCATAATTAATGCGAGTCTGCAATTCGGATTTGATCAAATCCATGGACATCCTATTTCGATCTTTAGTCCATACATTATTCAACAGGCTGAAAATTTTTTCGCAGAAGGCGTTGCTTGTTGGAATTGATAAAACAAAACCAACTATTTTTTTTAGGTTTTTAAGATCGTTTGTGTCGTTTGTTCTAAAGAAATGCGCCCATATCTTATCGTTCGGTAAATCTTTAGGAAGAACCTCAAAAACCGATTTTATGCACGCAAACTCTGTATAAAGAGAGTCAATGTCAACTGCGTCTTCAATTTTTAATATATCAGGAAACTCTGACAGTACTTCCCACGTCAGCTTAAAATCCTCTGATTTAAGGGAAAGCAACTCAAATTTCTTGTAAATCCCATCTGGTCCAAAGTCGTATCTTTCTTCTAGATAATGAATTGCTCTTTGCAGAAAAATGTGAGCTTGCTCTGTAAACTGATTTTTTTTATCTTCGCAGAGGTTTCTAAAAATAACCTTGACTTTACTTCCAAAAAATTATCAGCTAACCGGCTTTTTAGTTGGTCAAAAAGATTTCGCATTGCACGATCGAGGTCTAAAATAGAGTAGGTATCACTTTCCAATATCAGGATTACTTTGGTGAATTCAGGCAAAACATTCTGCAAAAAGAAAAGATAGCAGTCATTCAGGCTTTCTTTCAGGCACTCTTCCTCATTATTAAAATCATTACTATCACATCCTTCGGAAATAAACTCCCAAAGCACTTTATGACTGTTAGCCGGACCTTTCAAAATATGCTATCACAGATTGTGGAACACACTCTTTGAATTGAGAATATAATAAATCATATTCTGATTCATTTTTACTATATACAAGTTTTTGTAAATAATTTAACGATAAATCACGCTCTTCTCTGGAAATATTCTTTTTGTCACAAGTCACTTCTCTTCTAAACGTCTTTAGTGTATGGAAGATACAAAGATAAAATGGAGTGTTTGGGAAAAGATCTTTAACAACTTGACGTTCTACTAAATCTTTATCGCCCATGAAAGATTTCACCTTTGTAAAATCAAAATGTTTTTTAAATTGTTCAAATATCCAGTGGTAGGTCTTTTTATCTTCGGTAGAAATAAGTGAGACATTAGCAATTTCTGACTGTCCATTAGAATCTACTACCAGACATAAAAATACAGTGCAACCTATATCAATCAATTTATATGTTCCATCGATACTTATAAATTCTGGCCAAGCATTTAAAGCATTTCTCATATCTTGTGTTGTAAACTGCATTGCTTTGAATTTTTCATCCTCATCACAGAAAATATCAACCATACATCCTATAATCATATATTAAATTTATAAATATTTTTGCATAAAAAATAAATACCATAAGATTTTGTCAACAAAGAAACAACTTCATCTAGATCATTCTTCTCTATCTTTCTTCTATAATTGATATTTTGCAAGTCCTTTAATGTCGTTTTCTTCCCAGTGTCTGCCAGCACTTTACTCTGAATTTTCTTTTTATTTGCATCCAAAGATAAAAAAGTTTGCACAGATTTGAGCTCGTCTTCATTCAATGCGCGAGTCTGAGGTAGATGATCATACACCTTCTGAATAACAAAAATAAAAAATTTAAGCATATCTTCAAGAAATGTGTTCTTAATAATATAATTTGAAGGGCTCTAATATAGTTTTGTAAAATGAATGATTGTGGAATTCAAATTAGTGCTTTTATTTATGAGCCTAAAAGGTAGTTAAAGTGACCAACTAAGTAGTAAGTAGCCATATTTTGAAGGCTACATGAGACTAATAAAATAGGATAAGTAAGTACATACCTGTGACAGTTCATGTTTTGTATGCATCGTGTTAATGCTACATATTTGTAAAGAATGTCCCTCAGATGAAACACGAAGCTTAAAGTTTGCTTCACATCCTTGGCGCAAAGTGCTGTAAGAAAAAATATTTACATGAAAATTGTTATAAAATATGAAAAAGGATAACTCACCTAGTTTTTTTTATTCCATTACCTCTTTTTGCAAGTCTTTTTCCATGAATGCATGCATATTCAATCTCATAATAGACGAGAGATTGTTTAAGTTTTCTCTTAAGAGAATTAGATGCACTGGTGATTGTTCGGCTCCTTATTTTATAAAACTTTTGTTTATTGATAGTTTCATAACTCTTCACACACATTTCTAACTCCTCATAAGTATCAAATCGACGCCCTTTGTATAATGTGTCTTCCTCTGCAGACATGGCAAGTGGTTCGTCGATATAAGAATAATTTACTTATGTTGGGAATAGTTTCGGTTTTCAACTCTGTTTTCAAAAATATTTGTATTGTATTGTAACTACCCATGCACTATTAACAGTATTAACTATAATAGGTACTAACCCACACCACTATAGTTGAATCAGAGGAAACACCAAGATTTTATTTCTATAACCTCACTTGACAAATCTCAAGCAGAGAAATCAGCTGATTGCAAACGTCAAACGTGCCTCGTTCGTCAAAAAATTCCGGCACGTTAACGTGCCCCGAGTCACGGCGTTTTCTAAAAAATAATATTTTACTGCAGGCCAGCTATACATTAATCGATCTATAGCAGGCAAAAGTGATAACCATCTTGTAGGAACATGTCTTATGCCCAGTTTCTCCAATGTATCTTAAGCTCTACTTGAATCTTAAGATCGCCTTAAATCTTAAGTCTATCTTAAAACGTTGCACCAACGCAAATCTGCATCTTATATTCACAAAGGCAGCCTTACATTTAAGTCGTGAAAATCTGCGACTTAAGTCGGCATTATTGTTAGTGAAGTTGAAAATGAGTGGCATTTTGTCTTTCAAACGTCACTTTTCAAAATGGAATTGATCGATGTCGATGATGTCGATGTGGTTGATATGGTAGACATAGTAGAAAATATTCGAATACCACGGCAAATTCACATTAGGAGAAATTTATTTAATATTTATTCTAATGTTGAATTTTTTCGACGATTTCGACTCGAAAAAGGGACTGCTTTATATTTATTGGAGAAAATAGAACATAGACTAGAGTACTTCCATAACAGGTAAGTACACATCATTCATAGGTTTGTTTCACGTTTGTATACTTACCTACATATAATGCTTTTTGTGACTATTGTATAGTGCGAATTCAAGGTGTACAATAATGTTTTTTGAAATTCAGGAATAATTCCATCAGTCCCATGAATCAACTTTTGCTAACGTTAAGAGCTTATGCCAGTGCAGGGCATTTTGTTGCTGTTGGAGACTTTGTGCATGCAGACAAGTCAACAGTATGTAAAATTGTTTCAAAAGTTTCAAGGCTCATAGCATCAATTGCAAGGGAATTTATATACATGCCTCGAAATGAAGTTGAAATTGCAAGTGCTCAGAATAAATTTTACGACATTGCTGGTTTCCCTAGAGTCATTGGGGCAATAGATGGATGTCATATAAAAATTCAATCACAAGGTACTTACTACACTATTTTTTTCACATTATTTTTAGTATTATACTTTACATTCGCTCATTTCTACAAATAAGAATTTAATTTAAAGGTGGAGCTGATGCTGAAATATATCGAAACAGAAAGGGATATTTCTCTGTAAATGTGCAAGCCGTTACAAGTGCTGACCTGTTATTCCAAGATATCGTCGCACGTTGGCCAGGTTCGACGCACGATACCACCATTTTTAGAAATTCACGATTAATGCATAGATTCAATAATGGAGACTTTGGAAATAGTATCTTGTTGGGTAAATAGCACTTTTTTCAATATTAATTTACAATCGCTACTTACTTTTTAGGAGATAGCGGTTATATGAATCTTTCATATCTATTTACACCTTTTCTGAATGTTCAGAACGATGGTGAAAGAAACTACAACAGAAGTCACGTTCAAAGTAGAGTCAAGGTAGAAAATCTATTTGGTGTTTGGAAAAGAAGATTTCCTATAATAGCGTATGGATGTAGAATGAAGCTAGAAAATGTACTTTGTGTTATTGTGGCTACAGCAGTTTTGCACAATTTGGCTCGTTTGAGGGGAGAACCAGAACCACCTATTGAAAATTTAATTATGGAACACGAGCTTCAGCAAGCAATTCGAGATGGAGATATTCCTTTAGCCGCCGAAGAAAATGATTTAGGCTATGATTATAGAAGACATTTAGTAGATATATATTTTTCTAGATTGTAATTTTCGTATTTTGCAAGTTTAAAGATAAATTATATTACATATTAACATACCTACTACAATAAACATTTTTTATTAAAATTGAAAATACGTACTTATACTTATTTAAATGAATTCATTCTTCGAAAAAATACTAGATTTATTTTATGGCAACATTTACTTGGAACAAGAGCACTTCCCAATTTCCTCTTCCATTAAGTAAATTTTTTTCTTGTGCTCAACTTCCATGGCATGTAACATTTTCTTGTGCTCCTTTTCTTGCAAAAGAATTTCTTTTTGAATTTGTAGTACTTCAATTTTAGCTCTTTCTGTAGGTCCCAGGTCTGCGTTAATTTTAGGTCTCCTTCGAGCAGACCAACGAGTGCCTCGTAAAAGTGTGGGCGTGGGCTCTTCGTAAGTAAGCAGAACGTTTTGATTGCACAGTTCAGTTTCATCATGTGTTTGTTCTAAAGGTGTAATCGAAGGTGTACTGGATGTACACGGTATTTCTATGTTAATTTCTTCTTGATTGGGCTTGGAAGATATCAAAATTGGCATTCCAAGAATATCCTCTGCTGGATGATCTAATATAGGTTCTACAAAATATAAAAATACTTGTATCTATGTGTGCCTCACTAAAAATATAATTAATGGAAATTCGAGTGTAAATTTTACCTTTCATTACATCAGAATCAAATTCATTTCTTAGACCAAGGACTGTCTTCTTATTTATTATATCCAAAACCAATTGTTCATTTGCTTCACAATTTTTCGAAGAAAGTGCAGGAGCAACTCCTCCACCAGTTTTGTAAAGCTCCTGCCTTTCTAGTGCCGCCTTTTTTCTTGAGTCCTGCTTCATATTGCTCCACTGCTTCCGTAAAGAATTGGCGTCACGAAAGACGTTGAAACACTTTTTATTAAAATTTTGCTCAATAATTTTCCAAACGTCATCTTTTTGATGGTTTGAAACGGCGTTTGTATCTTTATTTTCGATGATATTTTTATTTGAATCAACCAAATGAATTAATAGTTTTTTTTCTTCTTGAGTGTAATTCACTCTTTTTTTATTAGAATGCATGTTGGCCGATGTCTAACAAGTTCGGTGCACGGTTCGGTGGGGCAATGACGAGTAACTCACAGAATAAGGCCTTATTCTGTGGAGTAACTATCAAGTTTGACAGTTTGCAATTATTAGGTACCTACCTTCGGTAACGCGATTCATTAGTAAAATTGGCATTCATTTGATAAAATTCTGTGTTGCCAGATCGTTTCAGACAAATTCTGATGCTTAGCTAAGATGCGAACTTAAAATTTTGGTGCAACGTAATTTAATTTTAAGGACGCCTTACAATTAAGACCGCCTTGCCTAAGGTACAGCTTATATTTTGTTGGAGAAACCGGGCATTTTATTTCTGTAACTTCGCTTGTCTTATCTTGCTATTTTTGACAGAACTTGCGAGGTGTGACTGTTTGGTATAGGAACCATTACTTACAGGTACCTTACCCATATTAGTAATGTACCTAATAATCATTTTCTCTCCTATAGGGAGAGTTTTGGTACTTAGATATTTGTGACGTTAGAAGTAGAAAAAAGGGAACACTAAAAGGAAAAAAATTGTTGAGGGCGCGCAGTGCAGTTATAATTATAACATACCGACACGTGGCATTGGTGGAGCAAAAGGTATAAAAATTGAGATTTAAAAGGCGGAAAAACTTGTGGCGAACGCAGAAAAAATGGCCACAGGGTAGTTGTAATATACCCTAAAGTATTTAAACAATGACCCTACCTACCTGTACCTGCTTGGCATTGGTGGTGCAAGAAAGGGGACTTCTAAAACGTGAAAACAATTGTTCGTGGCAGAGAAAGGTTTACACTTAAGAGAGGGTAGTTGTACGTAACACACTTGGCATTGGTGGTGTAAGATAAATTAACGGGAGCTCAAAAGATGAAAAAAATTATTGGGGGCGCAGAACTTGATGGATAATTATTTGAGGGTTGTCACATGCTTATTCGTCCTGATATTGGTGACGCAAGAAGTGGAGAAACGAGATGTTAAAAGATGAAAAAATTATTGAAAGCGCAAAAATGTCTCCATGAGCATTCTCGAACCTTTTACTTTCCAACGTCTTTTAAAGGTTTCAAAATCCTTCAGCAAACTTAACAATCATCATGAGGAGTATCTTGGGCCTTCTTGAAACTTTAAAGTCAGCACTTCAAAGTATTACCTATTAATTCCTAGTTAACTCCTAATTAACTCCTTGCAAGACAGCATTAAGTTCCATCGTTAACATCATTATTGCTATAATTTCTTTTTACATTTTTTAGGTTTTTATTTGTGCCTTCATACTGAATGGTTTTTATTATCATATAGTTTTTTCTTTACTTGCTAAAAGTGCTAGGTTTTTTATGTCTTGGTCTCTTGTTGTTAATTTCATATGTAGGGGGTAGAGCAGACGGAATAACACGGTTTATTCCAGTTTGAACTTCGCCCTATTGAGTCACCCATTATGTAATGTAATGTATAATATCTTGTTCTTTGTATAATGTGTGCTCAATAAATGTCATTATTATTAATTAGTCTTCAGAGTCCTTCACGAAACCTAGGGACTGTATAAGATATTTGTTTAAACGTTAACTATAGCAATTAAGAGCCTATTTGAGTTACTAAATGTTTTCGCTCCAGTACTTATCCTCAGATTTTTATAGTGACCATTAGAGCCTCTATTGAAAGCCCTCTTAAAGGTTGGTAAAAGATTTAAGTATCACTTTATGCCCAATTTTGGAGAGTCATACGCGGTTTCTAAGTGTGTTCATCGTGGCGGCTTTTAGGAGCTTTTAAGAGCAGACACAAACAGATTTACTAAACGCTTTCAGAGCCTTTGAGCATATGGGCCTCTCAATGTTTTCAAGGATCGCGACTATAATAAGGAACTTTGAGACCGTTTAATTTACTTTTGGAACCTTTGAATGGTCTCTTATAGACCCTTAATTTGTCAAAAATAGTGGAACCAACTGTCTCGTATCCTTTATTCTTCATAGATCATACCTATACCACAGACAACGTTGTCTGTGCCTATACTTATATATTGCTCTCGCTAGGAAAGATTGTCGGTCACAGTACACCTTATGTCGATCTACAATCTATGTTTTTCTCAAGTTGTGAGGGACTTCCGGAATAGGATCGTGGCAATGTTAAACGCAAAGTCTTTTTGTTCAACATTGACACGATATTATCAAAGAGTAACCTGCTTATAGTGGGTCTTTGATACTATCCCGGAAGTCTCCCGCATCTTAAAAAAAACCGTGTAGGGGCGGGAAAGAATACCCCTACCGCAGAAGACACTGCGTGTCGTAAAAGGCGACTAAACAACTGCCACCCCAGATACGAAGATCGATCTTTATGCTTAGAATTAATGGTTTGGATGCCAAAAGTAAATGATTTTTGACATAGGTATTTTTACCAATTTACGTGATCTATCTAAGTGCTTTTTAAATTGACAACCACCAAAAATGTTTATGCATTTGCGATATTTCTTTTCTGGTATGTAGAGAAGCACATAAATAAATGATTTTATATTACAATAAGTGTCCGGGTCCATTGGATATAATAGTTTTAGTTCCAAAAATGCACATTTATGAGATGATTATCGTGGTTTAACGGAATTAAGACTAACAAGCAGTGATATCGAGATCGTGTCAAAACTAGGTTGCTAATTTGAACCGACTTTCCATGATCACATTAGTTCTCATGAAATATATAGCAATTTGCAATGGCGTATTAAGGGTCAACAACGCCCTAAGCCCTAACGGATTTTGCGCCCCATATAAGATTTTTTAATACTCAATAATAAACCAACTTTTACGAAATTATCAAGACAAATTAAAATAGGTACATTTACATACTGAACAAAGCGTACTATAACGTAAATTTAATTACGTGGTTTATTAATTAGTTAACAATAAATTTATGAGAGTCTGAAATGAATATTTAGTTAAAATATTATTTATCACTTAAATATACACAACTTACAACAGCGCGAACTATTTATTACTTCGGCGTTGAATTTGGAACTGACTGAAACACAATTCGATTTGATTATATAGCATATACACCCCTGATTCTAGAAAGTTTTCGAACGCTTCCGAACCAGTATTCTAAAATGTTCTCGAACAAAACACGTCATATTTCCCAGAAAGAATGCGTCACATCGTTACCACCATAAATACAAACGGTCACATTCGCTTTCGTTTTTTATCGCCGATGACTACTAATCTTTTATGGCGCTCCTATGTCTATCGGGATTTCTAAAATATTCGCTACGCTATTTACCTAAACTTTTCCCCTTTTAAAACAAATGGAGAGAAATTATTGTATATATTAAAATGCATTTTAGATGGTTTAGAACTTTCATACACTGGGGAGTTTTGTTAGGGGGTGATAGCCCCAAAATTCTTAAATTGCAGCCCTTGTCCAGTTTCACCAGAAACACATTCCCGGTTCGATTTTTTTTCTTGTGGTGGGGGTTTGCAAAAAATAGAGTGTATGAAACAAATCTAGAAACAATAAATGACTCGAAAAAACCACTAATATCACTAGGGATCTGCTGCAAAGGGTTCAAAATTCTAACTATGTTTTGGGACTGTGTTTCTTCAAAATAATTGGTGAAACGCACCCCCTACAAAAACTGTAGTTATGTTACTTATTATGCAGGTATATTGTGGTTCAGAGGTCTCAATTATCGGAGTGGTACTGCTGGATAACCGGCTTGCATGGATTGGGGATGCTCTTTCCATCGATGAGCGTGCTAGACTGCTACGTATCTTGTCTCGCGCCCCTGCCTTGCGATACATTGATTTTTGTTGAGCATTTTTGATTTTTCAGATAGTGTTTTGTTCGCTCTTTTTTTTGCGCCCCTAAAATTCCAACGCCCTAAGCCCGAGCTTTGTCGGCTTATAGATTTATACGCCACTGGCAATTTGTGTTTTTCAGGAATCGTCCAGGTCTTTTTAGTTTGATAAATAGATTTACTAAGGTCCATGGTTTTTAACGCAAAATTGATAGGAGGTTTGATCTGATATAGATGTATATCGGATTTTTGGATACAAGACAATTACGTTTACTTACCAACCAGTATATCTTAATAGTAGAATTTGATCTGGTGCATATAGATTTCTAAAAAACAATGTCTGTATTGTGTATGCATAATGCAAACAACTGAATTTGTACCGCTTTTGGGAAATCTTGTTTTCTTGGATGGTACATACGCTCGGGTGTTGGCGGGTGCGCCGCCTCTCCTCGCGCGCCCGGTGAACTCCATACTGATTTCATCACACATAAACGATTTAGGCAGACAGAAAAGACATATACATAACAATCGTCTTTATTTATATAGATCTTGAAAAAATACACATAAAATTAAATTCCTCTTTTAATCGGTTTCGGTGCAACACTGATCTTCTGTGGCTTACAGAGGTGCAGTATACTTGATGAATCGTTGAACTTCTTCTTCGCTATATCAGCTTCTGGTACCGATAACGCAATACTTATATCAACATTACACGCCTCTGACCAAACCTGGTGAGATATAAGGACGGTGGTCAACAGTCTCAGATTATGTCCACTGTGCGAATCTGCAACGGACAGACTTAGAGAAAGACTATTCGCAGAGTGCTACTCACCTTGTTTGTCATTGTCGAAAAATAGCGGCTTTAAATGCGCAGGACGCGGTAAAACAACGTGGGTCCGCTGATCGGGGTACTTAATAATCAATCTTAACCTACTGGGATCGGACAGGTTGAATAGTTCCGCTTCCAATGGAACCGCCATCGTAAGTCCGGCTGTGAATTTTAAAGTGGAGTCCGTCTGGTTGCTCGGCTCGATTATTACCGCCGAGCTCATGCGAACCTGCGCGAAAACTGTTGCGGAATGTGATTAATGATGGCGAACTTACCTGGGAGTTCGGTACTGGGATTTTGGCCAACTTTGACTCCGACAGAATGGGTATGAGGAGGCGGGCCACAGCGCCCGGTTTTGGTTCCTCTAATACTGATAGCTCTTTAAAAACACTGCTGGCGAATGAGTCCGGTTCCAAGCCGTGCATTACTAGCTCCCTTTGCATTTCCTCAACAGCTCCGAGGAAGTGATGGCACGGAGCAAGAGCAGACGAATTACTAGCTACGGTAGATTTGTAATAATATACGGGGAGCAATCAAGTTACCTTTCACAATGAAGATCAGGTTTAGAGCCAGAGCTCTGAGACGGAATTGCTTGATGCTGCACTGCTCGTTGGCGGCAAGACCGACGAAGAGGTATTGCATCTTCAAGCAGTTTTCGAGTAATTGATCGATATTAGTTTTGAGAATGTTGGCCTGTTGCGTCGCTAGGGTGCTCGGATTCTTCCACAGGCCCTTTTCGAATATCTGCGCGTAAAGTAATTGCGCTCCAATGTACAGGGAAGTAAACTGCGCAATACCGGCGATGGACGAATCCATTTCACTGAGGCGGTTCAGGTGCTCTTTCGCCATTTGCAATAAATTTGTTTGTACCCTACTAAAAACGTAAGAGACTGCCTTACAAAGTGTCGAGTTACCTGTAGGAGACCTCGCTGGCATTCAGACTGTTGACGATGGTTTTCAGAAAATCGAAACTTTCGGGTACCGAAGCGGGTTTTATTATTGTGTTGCCGGTACCTTCGGAGAGCCTCAATTCTGGTACGAAATTCGGCATGGTATCTCGCAGATAGGCGTAGTGACGTAACGTGTGAGGTTCCAGGAGGGGGCTGATTGTCGGCGAGTACTTGGCGGCGTTTAAAATCAGGATTAGAATGCAAATATCTAAACTTTTAAGAAAAATACTTCAAATCAGTTCAATCAAAAGGTGGTCAACCAAATTGTTTGTCGTGGTGAATCTGAATTTAGAACCAATGAACGAAGAGCTAGAGAAAAGGGCTACTGCAACTATGGGAAGGATACATTGTGGATTATCGACATCAGGTTCAGACGTGTCGAAAAACGGATGAATACACAACAACGGTGGAATCAGCGGTAGAACCAATTCGGGGTGTTGCGCCCCAACCTTCTGCAAGCATCTGTACGTCGAGCGTTTGTCTTGCGGATACTTCTTCAAGTTATCCAGCAGCTTTTCTATGCACATTTTCAAACCACCGGTTGTAGACATGCGACACGACGCGAGCATTTGATGGAGGCCCTCGCGTACGTCCTGCGAAAAGTCTTCCAATGCGCCTAGTATCGTCTCCAATTGGTCGTCGCGCAAAATAATGTGCTCGGAAATTCTTCTCAGACTGTCGATGGCCATCAGCCGGACTTCTTCGATTTCGTCGTTAAACATGTCCACTAAGAAATCCAGTGAGAGGTTTGCGAAGTCTGGGTTTTTCATCGCCAATTGGCAAAGGGATTCGACTGCTGCCGTTCTCACCTCTACAATCATATCAAGTTGGCCATTAAGAAACTGTATAGACGCTCGCTCTTTGTTTAAGTAAATTATTCGCCGATGATGATCAGCAGAATAAAGATGGGCTGTATAATTTAGTTTTTCAAAGAACGTGACCATCGAGGTTATAGACTAGAAACCAATTTCGAAAGAAAATTCAAAGGGCTGTAACTTTTGAACTAGTCGCCCAATCTTGGAACTGTTTGAAATTATGGATTCTACAGGCCACATTCTAAAAGAAAATATTTTTTCCGTGTCGATCTAAGACAATTTTTTCTTCGGGGCAAAAAAAAGGCATTTTTACCAAAAATCGACTACACCAAAATTTCTCGGGAAAACACTTTTTCTTATTAATTTTTTTGGTGCGTAGAATCCAAAACAATTCGTACTTTTTGGATCAGACTTCTCAATCAAAAGACGAGGTGACCATTTTTCGAAGTGGACTACAATCAAAGCAAATCCAATTTAGGGACTGCTTCCAAAATTCATTATTCAAAATTTGTGCTACACATATCCTTATATAAGGTCGCAGATATAAATATACTCCAGATAGCTCATGACATAGGGGAAACGTAAACTCTACTCCTGTAGCTAGCGCAGCCTACTTTTAAATGCATACGATCTTAGGTTGTACGGTTTAGGTTTGAAACTCTGTTTGTTTTAAAGAGACGCATCATGAAGGTAAAGGAGGCGTTTATACACTGTATCTAAGATAAGGAAAGTACTCAGAAAGGGAAAGTGATACTTCTTTGGAGATATGTTTATCCATATCGGTATCATATTTACTTACAGCATCTATAGACAATTACACTTCTCACTGTATGTTGTTCTTTGCAAAATGTGTCAAATACGTGCAGAATATGCTAATAATAAGAATGACAGATGCCATTATAATGCACAGTCATTTGTTTCACTTTATCTATCCTTATAGTTAAAGAACGGCTTAGCCTACTCATTCAAACCTATTAAAATGTCAATTTAACATAAATGCTATAAAATAAACTAGATTAAGTGTTAGTCAGATGCTGCTAGATAGTTCTATTTTGAATTTTGCACCATATGGCACTTTTTGAAAATATACCTACCACAGACTTACCCAAATATTCATCTTCGAGTCCATGAACAAAAGCGCCACAGGCACCGCTACTCATCAAATTAATGCTATCTGCATCAACCATTTCTTTTGGCTGATCATCGGCCCACTTCTTCCCGCTAGCCCACTCGCCACTAGTCACATTCTCCCATGCCAATTCGTGAGCAGTTCTCTGCCAAAATGTATTTAATGCACAAAACCCTAATGCTATCAATGCTATTTACCTTTCGTCGCATATTTGAAATTAATTTTTTGTCCAGCGTTTGGTTGAGGAAATGATTGCTAACCTGCGTCATGCTCCCCAACAACTTGGCCGCCAGGGTGCGTACTCGCATCGACAAATCTGTCAAGCCACTGCAAACCTTACCGAATGCGTCGTCGATCAGCCGCACCTCCTGCTCACTATCCGGCAGCATTATCAAACTAGACACAAGAAATGATGCGATTAAGAAAATTGAAATTTAATTATCAAAAAGCTTTTAAGCCCAAATTGCAGTCATCCCCTTTACTTTAAGAGTCATGCCCAAGTCTGCAAACCTCCCACTTACTTCTCCGGATGGGCCTCCCCCAGTGACCTGATGAGTTTGATTACGACCAGCCGCACAATTTCATAGTCATCCTTTAAAGCCTGACACACATTCATGTAAATGTCGGGGTTGAGTGTCATACCGCGCTCGTGCAAGACTATCAGGGTGGAGAAAGCTTGACTGCGCACCCTCGCGTCCTCGTTATTAAAATAAGAGCTGATCAGGTGAACAATTTCGTTTGTGTTCAGATCTGCAGTTATTGGTGTTAGTGTCCCGATCACCTCGAGACACTTGCACTTTACACTGTGACTGACATCCTTAAGGTAGTGCTTTACGATTTCGAGCAGTTTCAAATGCAGTACTCCGTTGTCGACGCTCAACTTGCCCAGCTTGAGTATCGTGTTTATACCTTGCGCGATCACTTTATGCGAACGTTCGTTTTTAAGCAACAGCAAAGTTTCATCGATAATCGCTTGTAAATCGGCCTTCTGCTCGTGACCGATATCGGCGAGTAATGACAAGATCTTAACGCGTACTGCCGACTCTGGTTCAGATTTGAAATGTTCGCTTAACTTCTTAACCGCCTCGATAATATCAGGAGGCTCGAACTCAAATGTGTCGATTAACCGAAGTAATGTTTGAAGCGCCTCGTTGCTGTTTTTGCAGTTTTGCAAGCAACTGATTAAGGCTAAGGTTGGACGACCGGATGCCTGCTTTTTGACTAAGCGAAACCGCTTCAGTTGCGGTTCGAAAGGGGCCTCCTGAAACTATGGTATACAATTTTGCTCACGAAATTATGACTTACTTGAACTATAGATTGACTATATTCTGCTAAAGCTCTCTTTTTTAATACTGCAGCCATTTCGTACGTTTTTCTTTACGCTGTTTATGTTTGGAATAAAATTGCAAATTGTTAGGTTATTATGGAAAGTGACTCTCAGTAGGCATAAAATATTCCATAGCTCAGATTTCATAATAAGTGACGTTTATTACACAATCAAATCAATGCACAGGGTGCTTCAACTAATATTTGCATCTGGCAGTAAATCAATTTAACAAAAATCATACTCGTTTCGTTCTCTTAGATGGGGCATTTTATAGCTGATTAAGTTCTCCATCGCCTTGGTTCAATAAAAAATAAAGGCTTGTAGTGTATAATGGAGTTACTTTTACTAAATTTCAGTTTGTGGATACCATGCAATTCAAATTGTAGGTTTTTCTTTTGTAATAGTCGTGGGATTGTCAGTTCCCAAAGGTGAATGAAATTTAAAATTAAAGACTCATCACCAATTTAATGGGTTTTATTCTAATAGACATTAATAACAATAATAATATGCTAGTCACATACAGAGTACCACAATGGAATAAAAAAAATGCAATTTACACTTAAAACTAAAATAACTATCTTCTTTGATTCGGCAGTAAAATTCTCCAAGTACATATAAAATAAATTAATCATTAACGAGAATAATCACATTATCAATAGAATTGAAGCTGACTAAGTGTTACCATTTTTACCAAATACGATTTTCAGTCTGCGGCGCCCTCATCACTCCCACACCTCCACCTAGTCGCCTGTAGTTCATAGCACCACACAAACGCCACTGATTTTGTTCAGTGTCGTACACTTCGATTGTTTTTAAGTACGCTGTACCGTCGAAACCGCCCACAGCGTAGAGCTGCCCGTTAACCACCGCAAGTCCAACCTAGAATTTCATCTTGGAATTTTTCCACAGAGAAATTGGTACACTTACCCCACTTCGCCTAGAGGTCATGGCAACGATTGGACTCCATGTATTTGTGTGCGGGTTGTAACGTTCCGCGCTTGACAGCTCCATACAGTCATCTCGTCCGCCCACGGCGTATATAAGGTTGTTAAATACAGCACAGCCCAGGTGTTTTCTTCTGGTGGACATCGGACTAACGGGCGCCCATTTGTTGTGGCGAGGATCGTAACGTTCCACTGTGTTTAGTGGGGCCTGGCCATCTGAGCCTCCTATGGCGTACAGGTAGCCCCCTAGTACTGCAACCGCCACTCCTAGTCGACGGGTTGTCATAGGAGCTACCTTACTCCACTTGTTTTCTTTTGGATCATACCTGTTCACAGTAGTTATTAAACTCAATTTTTAGTGCGAGTGTTAGACCACACCATCAATAGAATATAGTTCTGGAGAGGTCCTAGAAGCCCTTGGAGGGTTATTGTTTTGTTTCTAGGCCCTGGAAAAGCCCCCAAGGACGTGTTTGTTACAATATTATGTCCTTTTCAGAGCTTTCCAGAGCATTCTAGAATTTTCCAGAACTGTTAAGGCCTTTTCCAAGTTTCTAGCTTCTTTCTAAGCCATTGCTATACTTTTATTTATCAAATGGGGACCGGATAATTACAAAATCTTTAGAACTACGAAAATTTCGACCCCCTCCCCCACTCGAACCGTGTGCCCGGCGAATATTTTCTTATTTAAAAGCCTCTAAGAACTTTTATATATTCCTGGAGATTTTGAAAGCCTGTAAAACTGTTAGCGACTCTTAAGGCTTGTAAAGGACTCTTAAGATTCTTCAAAATTCAGATATCAAATACCCATAAACATTACTAAGGTCTCAAAGGCTCTAATGGGCCCCCAAAGCCCACTAGGTCATAGAGACTATTGACGTTTCTTGAAGAGAACACATTTTGTAACTCATGAAAACTCTTAAGGTTTCTTAAAGGCTTATAAAGTCTCTTAGAGCCTCAAGTAACCTCCAAAAGACTCCTATTTATAACTCCTGACGGCTTTTAAAGTCTAAAAGCCTCTAAGAACTTTTATATATTCCTGGAGATTTTGAAAGCCTGTAAAACTGTTAGCGACTCTTATGGCTTGTAAAGGACTCTTAAGATTCTTCAAAATTCAGATATCAAATACCCTTAAACATTACTAAGGTCTCAAAGGCTCTAACTCCTGACGGCTTTTAAAGTCTAAAAGCCTCAAGACTGTACTAATGCATTTAAAATTTCCAGATTACACGAAATTATTCGGAAAATTCATGTACATGTACAATGGTAATGTTACACCCCTTGCCTAGTGTATTGTGTGTGGTCTAACCATAATGTTCTAAGGGGCTGGGCCCGAAAAATCAGTTCTACCTTTCAACATGATTTAAGCATTGTACTCCATCCTGACCTCCAACAGCATACAGCATATTGTCAAGTACTGCCACACCTACACTTGTACGACATGAGGTAGTTGGGGCAACATCACATGACCATTGATCTGTTTGCGGATCGTATCTAAAAACATTTCATGAAGGACTTCCAAAGAGGACTAGCAAAAATACCTTTCTATACTGTTCAAGTAACTTTGACCGTCGTGCCCCCCAACTGCATACAGAAGATCATTGAGCACAGCAACCCCGACACCACACCGCCGTTTACTCATAGGAGCAACCATCTTCCACTCCATAGTTTGCGGATCAAACTTTTCCACTGAAGCTATCGCATCCCCACTACACCAACCGCCGACAGCAAACAGAACCTCGCCCCTTCGAGTTGGCTTACGGGGCCTCGTTCGGGGTCCCTGCATCAGGGGCCTCTCTTGAGGTAGCAGCAGGTAATTTTTCGCTTCATCCACTAAATCCCTGCAAGATTCATCGGACCGCACCAACAAATCCGACCCAACAGTACCTACTAAGAATTTAGGACTGAGTAATGGTAGCCTGACGTGCTGTAATACTTGTGGAAGGTGCTGCCGCCTTTCGGACACGTTATACTTGACCCACGACATTACTGCGTTAAACACCTGCTCTTCACTTCGAACGTTTAACTCGTCGCTCGATATTATATCGACTAATTGACTAACGGGAAGCAATAGAAACTCCTCACTCTCCATAACCTCTTGGAAGTTATGCTGTGTGAATTTGTCGGCGATTCTAAGCAACTCCCTGCACGAGTGCGTATCCGCAAACGCCCTGATGCCTAAACAATTCGACGGATCCAACTGTCGTTTCAAAAACTCACAGCAGATGTCTTGTATTTCGGTCAATTGCAACAGGCAAGCTGCCGGTAGAAGTGTTTGGACGTTAGACTCTTCGACGACAATATGAGAGGTATAGCAAAAGTCTATTAGTAAATCCATAGCTACTTCGTCTATATCACGTATTGTTACTTCAGTCTGACGGGATTCCGCCAGTTCACCCGTGAACATCGCCCTAAAATACGGACTGCAAGCGCTCAGTATCACCCGGTGAGCGAAAATTTTCCTATTTCCCACATTTAACACGACATCGCATAACTCGCGGTGTCTCCTTAGTAGATTGAGTTCGGTTAGTGTGCTTTTGGGGTGTTTATCGGAAGTATGTGACAATCTCGCTGGTGAAGGTGGACGTTCGCCGACCGACATCTCACCCATTCTGCAGGTTGCCCTAATGTGAGATGCCAATTGAAGGCGTAAGGGCGGCGACGCCCAACCCCACACTGAGTCTATCTGTAGATATAAACAATATTTACTGTTATTATTTTGTGACCATATTTACCTTTACGACTTTTAATTGCTTAATTAAGAAAATTTATTCTAATTATATGACTTGAAAACTTTGGCTAATTAGCATAGAATCACATGAATTCTACTACTTTATAGTCGTAAATATTGCTGTAGTTGTGAATAATGTTTATAGAGTTATTTATTCTTCTTTGACATTTGACAATTAGATGAATAACCTCTAAATGTCAAATTGGTAGTAATGGTTTGCAACTTTACTTTGGGTACATTCCGTTATAATCTGTTTATTTATGTTATCTTCAAACAAAACTTCTTGTTTTAAACACACTCTTATTAAACACAAAGCAGGGGTTGAAAACGGAACCTGATTGCATTTATAAACCTTCACTTGGAACCGGAACCGTTATTCAAGAAGTTAAATTAAAAAAAATATTTAAATGTTGCACCCTATATATGGCCAATATGGATATTGAACGCTACTAAAGCTGAAGATGTCAAATGGTTGTGATCCATGCTATTGCCAGTGTCAGCTGACAGCTGTCATTACGCCTACGTAGGTGTTTTGATAATTTTATTAAGTGGTCACTTTTCGGTACAACAAATAAATATGGTAACAATTCTATCAAATAAGCCGATTTTGAATAAAAACCATTTCTTTTACAGTCATTTACCGACAAAATAAATTCTCTAATGGCCAGACCCGGCCAGGAGGTACCTAAAGATGATGTTCCTTGGTGGATGAGGTATGGTGGAAGGGCATTAGGTACATTGGGCGGTTTTCGTAAGTGACAAATTGCTTAACGAACAATTTTTTAATTTAAGTTTCTTTCCAGTGGCAATTTTCTTGGGTGTTCTTAACTGCGTCAGCATAATAACGGGAGATATTAAGTGTCTCCTCAGTGGCTTATTCCAAATGGTACTCGGCTTTAGTACTTTATGCATAGAAGCACCTTGCTGTTGTCTGTTTGTCGATTTCGTACAGAACCTCAGCGATTGGGTGGATAAACGTCCGTATTGGAACAAAGCTGTGGCCTACATTGGGTAGGGCACCTCACACTTTTCGAAATGAATTAGTGTATTTTTTCAGCTTATCCCTTCCTCCCATATGTCTTTGTGCGACATTAAGTTCGATATTTGGAAGTGGTCTCATCCTAGTGACGGGTGTTATCTATGGAATGATGGCATTAGGGAAAAAGTAAGAGTTTTATCATCCGTTTAATGTTTTGGCAAGGGGGTGACTAAAATTGTGTTTTTGTTTTGTGATGTTTTGCGAATAACGCTTGAAAGCAACTAACATCTTGCTTAATAACCATAGAGGATCTAGACAGGATATGGCTGCGATGGCTTCACCGCAGTTAGCTACATCGCCTACCGGAATGGGAGGACATATAGATCAACGTTCAACCCTAATGGAAGATCCCGATGTGTGGCGCCCTACATAAGTCTTCCTGAAAGTACAGTTAATACTTTTCTCCTTTGTCGATCATTGCATTTCTGCTTCTATTTATTCAGCTGTAGATTATATGGTGTAAAGATCTTCTTTACTGCTTCTTTGCTTGGTGTTGCTTGGCTTTTTATTGTAGTTGTTGTAGTGAGTTGTGCTTTCGTCATTAGTGTAGTGTATTCTATGTTTGTAAATAAATGCTTTGTTGTGTTGTTTTTCAATGGGGATGTACGAAATTCAACCTATTGGTAACAATTGTGGCAATTAGCCATAGCAAAATCAAACCAGTTGAATTATCGTAAAATCCCAGTAATGTAGACAGTTCTCATCTCTATTAAGAGAGGGAATTTTAATTTAGTGTCTGTTAAACTTATCGGCCGATTGCCAAAATGGGATCACATCTACAACCATTTTTGAAAATCTCGTATTTCTATTGTTTGTAACTGTATCTGCAAGTTGCCACATGCATTTGTTAGTTTGAAGTAGGTAATTCACTAGATGGCTCATCAGAAATTTGGATTATATATAGTGGCTATACAAGACAGTGGCGACAATTGAGCTTAAACTTCGCCCACCCGCCATGTTGTGGCAAATTTAAACATCTGAGTTAATTATATGTAGATTAAACATGAATTAGAAAAAATTACCACTGGAATTCTTTAGTAATATTGAAGTTTGCCACATAATGGCTGCCGCCTGCCACGTGTTTCAGCAACCAATCAGAAATGAAACACCTATCGTCACCATTGTCTTGTATAGAGTCACTGTAGTGGATTATATGGCAAGAATTTTAATGGTTTTTTAATAGTTTACATTGGAAAACGTAGATGTCTCTGCTATCAACAAAAATTAGTACTGAATGGTCAATTTTTACCTTCTTTAGTTATACATGAATCTGTAATGAACCGTAGACAATTTCATTATCTCGATTTGGAATTTTTGCATACAGAATTTAGAACGTTTGTAATTCATTTGGCACACAAGATATATAAATATTCTCCCGTTTATGAGCTACTCAACATTCCTTAATGACTATGAAGATTACATTATTGTAACAGAGCTGTGCAAATCAAAAGAAACGATGCACCTGTGAAGTTAGCCCCTCATTTTTGAAATTTTGCTATTATTGTAATTAGGGTTCTCGAGTTTTTGGTAAATCTTAGAAAAAGTTTGCACATTTAAGTCATAAACAATTATTTATTTCACATAATCATTTCACATCTGGGAACCTGGGAGCGGAGCGGCCTCTTTGGCAGCGCGTCTTATCACAGCCATAAACCACAAGCAAGTTTTGTAACTGAATTAAAAGATCTATAGCCCTAGAAGCAAACCATAACTTTCATCAATTAAGCACCCTCAGTCATAGCACACGTGATTATGCGTGCGTGGAAATGTCCACATAAACAGAGTCGCTAATTAGGGTTTTTTGGACGCTTATTCGCAAATACGGGGGAATGGCGCATTTTTAATCCTGGACAATTTCCAGTTCATAAAATTCCCTGACACAATTCAAGTTTTTCCCGATTATCCCGCATTGGCAGCCGATAGTAATATCGGGTATCGGTCAATCACATACAAAAGACCTTGTCAAATGTTCTGAAATAAAAACTCCCAATACTGACTATTTTTAGAGCAAAATTCTATACCTACCCCTTATGTAGGGTGATCCAGAACTGTGATCAGGACTATTTGTCTTATGGAAATGTTTAAATAAAACGCGTGAAATATTAAATATCGTAAACAGTAAATGAGAGTACAGACAGACAGAACTATACTGACATCATTGAGATTTTGTTTGATTCAGATTCTTGTGACTTCAAAACGTGTATTTTCGGAAAAAAGTGGGGGCCTAATGCAATATCTCCCTTTAGAAACGTGCGGGTGGTAATTATACGACTATTACTTTTTTTAAAAAAGGCCGATACGCCAATATTTTATCAGTAGCAGCCTTCAGGCATAGCAACATCGGTCGAACCCTACTAACCAACCCAATCCGCGGTTTATCCACCTCAATACTGTTCTACCCTGGCTCATTACATTTTAAGTCTATAATTTTACTTCGGTTGAGGAATTATGTAGCCTGCGGGTCAAAAACCTACTGGGTGTGTAATCACAGATCTAGAGGTCATTTTCTTGCCTTTATGGTAGCAGGATTGAAATGTTTTAAGATACATATCTCAGCTCAAGTGCCTTATCAAACACTTTGTCATGAGGTGTGTTGAAATGTAAAGCAGAATGAGCAGTGTTATTGTATGTAACACAATGGCTGTTGAAAACCTGAATTCAACAAGTTTCTTCAATTATTATTGTTCTATTTTCCCTTACTCAATAATTCCATTATGGTCATCACATCGTAAAGTTTTAAAGTGGTAATTTGGAAACATGGATTTTTAATTTGCACAAATCTTGGAATCTTGGTTTGCAGATATCTACATAGGGTATACTCGTCAAGTAGAGATAAAATATAGGTACTTTATCTTGTATAGTCACAGGGGTGATTGGCCCAATCAAATCTAAATGGATAACACTTCGAACAATGGCTCTATCTCTATCCTTATCAAATCTTTTCCTCGTCATTTTTGCTGTACATTTTTCTGTTATAAATAAACTCAGTCATACGATTTGAAACACACCTGAGTTTATTTAGATACGACGATGACTAATGACCACTGAAAAATTTAAGCTAGGCTTAGCTTAAGTGTAGTTTTAAACCTTTTTTTTTATGGGCGATATAGTAACCTCCACTTCAATTCAAAGTAAAAGTCTAACATCGATCCTAACTGCTTATAGAACCATGCCATGAGCCTTTCTGAAATAAAAACACTTGACAAAAGGAAGTTAATTCATCAAATTTCCATTATAGATACTAATTTCTCAACTCACTTCAAGACCTACCTATTTGTTGATATCCCCAGTCAATAGTTTGAAGTGTCTATTTATCTCTATTTTAATTTCTTCAATACAACAAAAAATAGTTTGTTACTGAAATCATTATAGTCGAGCCCATGTGGTCCATTCGTGTCACATTGCTTGTTGCGAGTTGATTTATGGTCCCTATACTATTATAGATACTAGGGGCTACAATAGTATATAGTTCAAATTGAAGGTAAATAACGATTAGAGAGAGCTATTATAGTGAAACCATGCAAGGATATTATCATGCACGATGTAATAGTATGCAACAAATAAATTAATAAATTTTCGTAACCCACCACTTCCTTTCATTTATTCTTATAAAACGAGAATTGTTTTGTATTAAAATTTATGATGTTAATGTCTAAATATGAATTTTTCTAGGGCAACCGCGGAGGAGATGCGCGCATCCGCAGCTTCAGAGTCCTTTCCTCCTCAGACTCCCACGAAACCCGTTTCAAATATGCGTTCCAATTTAGTAGAGAATGCGCAACCCATTAGTTTTACCGGTGCTCCAGTATTTGACAGTAACGTTTGACTTAGTTCACCTACTATTTACGGTTTTAATTATGGGATAGATAAACACATATCGTACCTACAGTATATTTATTTCCGATCATAATTATTGTATATTAGTAATATTGTATATAAGTCATTTCTTCCCATGGTTTCTTATATACTAGTGAGATTTGCAAGTTGTAAGTAAGTAGGTAGCTTTTATTTAATTATGTATTATAACGCTTTAAGACTGTGTAATTTTTAGAAGTTATTTGTTGGTCTCATTATGCTCAATGAAGGTGATGTTTCTCCGTTCCCTCTCTCATCGACCCATTCCCCTCATCCCCATCACAATGTTTAGAGTCTAGGAATTATGGTATTTACCTCTGTGTGAACTTCTAGGTCAAATTTATGATAAATGTTGCCATTTCGTGGTTTGGAACTTGCAAATTTGGATTTGAATAATTTGTGCACTGCATTGTGTTCCTGATAAGTAATAAATTCTTCCAATTATTTTTTAATAGTGTTCATTCCATTTTTTAAAACTTATAAATATTTATGCGAGTACAAAATCTACATAACAATTGGAAGTGTTTTTAATTTTTTTGTCAATAACAAGGAGTAATTGTTGTCTATATTTAGAATAATATTAATATTATTGTTAAAAGTATGTGTGTATTTATTGACTGTAATAAATCTCTTATAATTATAAGCGCTATTGTATTGTCATGATTTACGCACATGTTACTAAATGTATAGGTATTATTTTTATTATAATTTTGGCCAAGGTCGTCGAGAGCTACAGCGGGACCTGGGACCCATGATGTCAGATTTCAAACATTATTGATAAGATAAGACTACCAGAATCTTTATTTGTATACCTACACATTGAAAATTTTGCCTGGAACATTGAATATAATTGCAAACCACATTTTTCTTAAAGGAGCTTTTATGGTATTGAAATCGTATTTAAATCAGTCAGTAGTATAATTCTGCATGGCCAAGGAGAGCGCTTTTAGCGCATTTTTGAACTAAAATACGCTATTATATAGCCGGTCCCTGTGGTGTTAAGGATCCCTGGTTCGGGCATGGATCTTTGTAAATGTATAGTGGCTTGGGTTGGTAGAGCAGCCTTGGCTGAAACCTCGCCCACTCAAAAATAAAGGCAAAAAAAAATAAATTAATCGTAAAACTCAAATTAAGGAAAGCGGTTGTGTTAATTAATTTAATAATTTCACTAGTTTGCGTTGAAAAAAAAACGTTATTTGTTAGTTATTTAAAAGCAATTTATTGTATCAAAAATCATTAAACAATTTTTAGTAAATCTACATGCTTAAAAATAATTTATTTATAATGGCGCGCAGAGGCGTCTACAGAACTGAGAGGGCCACTTTTTTTAATGGGAAGAACTATTTTTCGTGATGTATTATTAAAGAATGAACAATGGCAACATAAAAAACATGTTCAAACTAGTAAAGTTATGAAATTAATAAACAAACTTCCTTAATTTGGGTTTATATAAGTGTTTTATATTGCTACATCCAAAAAAAGTATTCATTAAAAATAGGTACCTAATTAAAACTAGTGGTTGCTATTTATAAAAGTATAGGTACCCCTTTGACCATGCAGAAGTACTCCACTGACCGTCTATTTAAAGTAGGTACTTATGTAGATTTTGTAGCAAACTTTTTATAATTTTGGATGCCATAAAACACTTATTTTAAAAATATGTTGCTTTGAAGATATATTCAGGGTTCCAGACAACATTTTCACTCTGTAGGTATATGTAACTAAAAAAAAACCAGTAAAATGTATTTATATAGGGTTTCACAAAAGCCCCAGGACGAATCTACAAGTTTCAAATGAGTGAAGAAAAAGTGAAGTATATTTCAAATGGTTTAAAACTTTCATACACTGGGTGTTTTTGTTTTAGGCTTTATGGTAATATAAAAATTGGAAACCAAGGAATCTTTACATACATTTATTAGGTAGGTACCCTAATTAAAAAAAAATAAAAAAACACGAAATGCTCTTGCACGAGCACGGAAATTTTTCGAAAATTAAAGTGAGTAGGTACGCCTTATTAGAACCAATTTCTCTGTTAGATATACGTACTGAAGTAGATAATTGTATTCTCCATGAAAAGTACCCTGAAAAATATAGGTGTAAATTAATAAGACCACGATAACGTAACCTTAGGGCTTTCTTTTCTAGAAAAATCCTTAAAAGTAATCTAATATATAAAAATCTCCTGTCACGGTGTTTGTGGTCGCACTCCTAAACGGCTCAACCGATTTGTATGAATTGTTTATTGTACATCTACTTGCTAACCAAATGAGTTAAGACGATTAATCTCAACTCTCAACTGTAGGTTGAGTGAGATACGAGAGGCAAGTTACTTATCTCTGGGGGGCGAGATTCGAAGCTAACAAAAACCCTTCGGTTGGTTTATACTGTTTATGTTGTTTTATTTTGTGTTCCCTACTGTATTTTAGGTCATACCGTTGTTAATAACTAACGTAAGGGGGCCTTGCCTTAGATGTTTAAACACGTGCCTCTTTTTATTGCAGGTTTTTGTGGTGTGAAGTGAACAATATAAAAAAAATCTAGGTATGCAGTAAAAAATATTAAGAGAATTGATAGTCACCCCTTTTGGGAATCAGTTCAAGAATTCGTATCCCTTTTATGAGCTATTGTAGAGCTTTCAATATTTAGCAAGGATACAATATTTTAGAGCTCATTTAAATCACTAGGCTTTTAACATTTATACTACTTATATGGGGTGACTGAGGCTACTAGCACCCCCCCCCCCAAGGGATTTCAAATTAAATTCTGTACTGACAGTACGAATGATTGAAGGGTTTTCACTTACCTATACCTGCAAGAAATTTTAATATTTGAGCGCCACCTCTTAAAAGAGCAAATCGTTTCGGTTGCCAAGTAAATTAGACGCAGCACGCAGCCTTTCTGTTTCATTTTACTTATTGCAAATTAATTTTTATATTTGAAGTGAACTTTCGCATATAATCAATTCTAATTTGTACGCTTCACCACTAAAAAGTAAAAGACACAATGTATTTGGGTTGACCAAGTTTTTTTTACAAATAGGTAACCCCTTCCCTTTTTATCTTCCCTAAATTGAAATTAAAATTTCAAATAAGCAAAGGGAAACATTAAATTCGAATGGACCTGGCCGCCACAACGATTATATCCATTTGAGCTAGTGGCGCTCAAAAATTACAATCGCTTGTATAGGTAACACTATCGTAAGTTCAGTAGAAAAATAATTTTAATTCTACAGGAGTGTAGGGGCGTTATTTTATTTGGAGAAAATAATTATTTTATTCAACCCACTATACAAGATAATTAAAAAGACCTTACATTTTTTAAGATAAATCGCGTTTCCTCAAATAAGTAAGAACTAATCTGGAAATATCTAAGGTCCTGTTAAATATGCCGACCCTAGAAAAGAGATTCGCCTTTACAATATATATAAGGTCCTTTTAACCATCCCGACCCTATCTAGAGATTCCCTAAGAAGCTACATTTTTCAGTCCAATTTTGTTGTTGTTGCTAAAATTAAGTGCTACAAAATCGACCGATTTTGGGGATTTTTTTTATTTTCCAGCTGGTATATTAGCGGATAATTGCGTAATTAGCATTTATGCGATTAATTAATTAATTCCTGCTGGTTTTCGCATCCTTTAACTTTAACACCATATGACCTATGACCTCCCAATGAATGATTTAACGTTACAATAAGTGTGCTCTACACAAAATTACTACTCAATCCTATCTCACCCCAAAATAACTTTTTTTTTTTAAATTGTTCCTATTTATAGCTTTCTAAATTAGTTATTTTATTCACAATTTGCATAGAAACGTTTCTATAGTACATGTTTTTATATGCTTTATTTTTTTATTGACAATTCCTATTGTTTCAACAATTCGAAGGGCAATTTTAGCGTCTCGGTTGGTTTAAAGGGGGTTCTTTAATGAACTTTGGCCAAAAATCTGAAGGGCAACCATTTCTAATTGATCTATGTAAGGATTTCCTAACCAAAGTTCGCCATTTAGTCACGTTACAGAATCTATGTCATTTTTCATTTATAATATTGATGAATATTTTAATTTGATACCTACGCTTTGTATGGAAAATCATCTAGCAATAGTAGGTACTTATTTTCAGATTATTCCACAGTTTGCATTGGGTACTGCGATAGGTACGAGGGTAGTTTCAGTTTGATGTCTTTTTTTCGTAGCACTGCATGATGAATTGCACATCAAATCAAAAAGGTGCGATAGGTGCTGCTCTTGCTGTTCGGGCCCTGAAGTACGATGAGGGCGAGTTTGTTGCGAAAGAATCGAGGAGTCTTTGTGCGTCGTTTTGTTACTATATGGACGAAATTTACAATCACTATTAGGTACACCCCCGAAACAAAACCATGTGGACCAAGAAAGGCGAACAGGCTCCGAAGAAGGCGAAGGTGGTTGCGTCTTCCGTAAAGTAATAGTATTATTTGTCTGTGGTGCACAGGGTATTCTGCTAGTCCACTAGGTACACCTTAGAAAGGGTAAAATAATCAACAGGGGTACTATTTTTATTATTACATTTGACCCATTTGCAGGCTTCAAACGCTGAGAAAGGGCGTCGATTTGTGAAGAAGAAAATGTTCTTTCACTACGACAATGCATCTGTGACTCATTTGGTCGATTGGCGATTTTAATTAATTAACAACCCCCTTATTCGCCTAGCTGGTATGGCTTTGTCTGCCTGGACCCAAAGCTAAAACTTTATCTGGCTGAAGAGTGAAGAAAAATGCTGTACGAATGTCACAGGTGACAGAGAACATCTACTTTGAAAATCCGAGCAAAAGCACGTTAGGGATGAGTTGGAGAAGCGGTGTCCGAAGTGTGTTAAGCTTCGGTGGGGACTACGTCGAAAAATAAAGCTTATTTTGACTCTTATATGTAGCATTGTTATTTATTTAAGAGCAGTAGAATTGATCCTCGCACCTATACCTACCAAAGGGTCCTCCACGTCCAAATTATAAACACGAGGTATCGAAAATTGTTTAATTCATTTCAAGAAAATGGACTTTGCAACCAGTTTTTACTACACTGCTTATTAAAAGTGTACACATTTGTTTAACAAAAACCAGTTTCCCTGGTAACTACAATTTTAAATAATTTCATTGCAAGGACACTTCATCAATCGGCTCTTAATTACCTAATTTTTTCTTACTTACGCACTACCGGAATCAAAATTTTCAAAAACAACAATTACCTACATACAATCGATCAACGAACATCCAATTATGTATTATAAAATCTCCCACCTAAATAATCAGACTCCGCATTAGTGCTGATGTGAAAACGTCAAATGCGACATTGGATACGCATTACCACCTTCTTTGTGATTAAAATAAAGATTCCGCTAATTGTTTGAAATGTAGAATCTGTTTTGAGTTTTGGATGGATGGATCTATCTTAAATGAAGTCAAATTTCATGAATCACCTC